GGTTGAGCACTGTGGATTTGAGGGTGTCAGGCAGAGGACACAAGGAACAGGCTGACACTAGATTTGGGAGTGGATACAGAGAAGGGGAAGGAAGACAGGTGACAGAGTTTGCAGGAGCCACTGAAGGCGAGGAGGATTGTGGTCAGACTGTGGTCCTTGGAACAGGGAAAAAAGGTTTGTGTTTTGTCCTGGTTGTTGCTGTTGTTTCTTTGTTTTTCAAAAATGTGACAGAATGTGGGTCCAGGGAATATATTTTAGAAAGGGTGGGAGGAAGTGAAGGACAATGAAGGCTTATGGATTTCCAAAGGTCACAGCAATGGAGGGATGGAGGATGTAGCCAGACGTGTAAGGGAGTGAACCTCAAGGGTCTCCTTTCCTCCCAGAGCCTGACTCTGCAGCACACACTGTTCACTTTAGCTTGGCACCTGTTGCATACATTGTGGCCCAGCAGATGCCAAGGGAAGAGGAGAAGCTTCCAATAGCTCAGGCATCTGGGCAGATACCAGAAGATGCTTTCAGGATACTCCAGGCCTGACTCCTGCTGCAAAGGCTGTTTTATAAATGATGCCCTACCGGGGTGTCTGCTACCTTCCTGGGCTCAATATAGGGTTGTCTGGATGACCTATGTTAAGCCACCTGCTGTCTTCTCAGGCTAGACCTGCATATCCTCAATGCATGCACTCAGGCTCACAGGGAAATCAAATGTCCTGGATCCAGTGGATACACCAAACCAGTCAGCACACTGCTCAAGGAAGCCCCACAGTACTGATTCCTTCAGTGGATTCCTGAGCAGTGACCCCACAACCCAATTTCTGTCCCTCCTGTCTACAGAACAGCTTCCCTGGGGTTCACAGAAAATAGAACATCAGGTGCTGGAGGACATTGGCCTGCACATGATACCACTGCTTCCCAAGGTCCCCTGACCCTAGCCCTCTGGCACTCAGCTAAGTCCACCTACCCAGTCTTGCCCCAGGTCCACTATGCTGCCTCTGCTACATGTGGACACTGTGACTGGTGTCCACTGTCCAGGGCATAGCATGTCCTCCCAGGGCTATTAGGCACCTGACCAAATTTCCCAAGGGCCAGTGTCAGATCCCGATGATAATCTGTAATTTCTGGTACAGCAGAGATGCATAAAGAAAGACACACGCACACACACACTTCCAGTAGAGAATGAGCAGCAGCTTCATTTTTTCCCTACTTCTTTTATACAGCAAAGAAGAAACACATCTTCTTGGCAGCTTAATCTTATCAAGCATGGATAAACATTCTCAGAATAACTTTGTTCATGGTCATAGTGCTCCATACTTCTTATTATTTGAGTTGAAGTTAGTTAATTTCCTGGCAGTCACATATATCTATATCTATATGTCTATATCTATATCTATATCTATGTCTATGTCTATGTCTATATCTATATATCTAGATCTAGATATCTAGATCTAGATATAGAAAGAAAGATATAGATATAGATAGATAGATAGATGGATAGATTGATTTTAAACTTGGCAAAACATTCTTTTATCTTCTTAAGACACCAACAAGGACACAGTTCAAAGGGTTCATACTTTCTCACAGGACCCCTTTGTTTTGCTAAGCTCAGCAAAACTTAACTCTTTGTGTGCGTGAGCACACAGGCAAGGTCCAGAAAATTATGGAGGGTCCTTTAATGCCAGAGCCCATGACATTATTCCAACCAGACATTACACACAGTGCGTGGGATCCCCGGCAATCCCACATCCTTACCCTGCTCAAGCCGTCCCCTCTGGCTGTTACCTGATGTCCAACAGCAACTCCTGTGTGGCCCACCTGACCTCTGCGCTCCTTTGCAGCTGTATGTGGGAAGATTTCTGCAGTTCTTCTGTCCACGTGTCAGAGTGTTTGTCTTTCCATCCAAATAGCCTTTAAATCAAGGAAAACCTATGCATCCCCCACCCCCAGGTCCTGTCATCCCTGTGGACATTAACTGCCTTAGAATTTTTCCTACCTCTGTCCTTCGGGCACTTGAGCTCATGTTCTCCACCCCCCACTATGTCCTTTGTCCCAAGTGCTGCTGCACTCGCAGGATCTGAGACCCAAATTATATCATCCCCTTAATTCTGTGCACAGTTTGCCCCTTTGTGCCCTTAAAGTCCCCAGTGCACTTGAGATGCACCACATCCTGTACCCCATGTGCCTTGTCCTCACTGCCATTTCTCTATTACTTTACAGCGCTCAGCCACAAGCCCCCTGCACCCCATCTAACCCCCAGGACCTTCAAGTGATCACTCATTATCTATTGCACACTCTCAGCCTACCCCCACATGTCAACGGTCACAC